CCAGTCACCCTGCAGAGGAGAGAGAGCAGCAGTGACTGGTCTTTATTACAGTAAGCTTCACACTGGATTACTGCACAGATTTGGAAGAAATACAGAAAACACACCAAGATTTGAAGAAGAATAGACAATATTTGCTTATCCCAGAGTTCAGCTTTAAAGACACATGCAGGCACATTGTGGTGCTACTAGTAGTAGTCTGATACTATAGTAACTATGCCAGACTTTCTTTAACAGAAATGAGCCCTTTAAAAAAAATCCCACTGACTTACTCTTCTGTTAAATACAGCATTTAATTGTGAAAAATAATTCAATTTGATACCATGCATTATTATGTACAACCACCTCCTCTTTTAAAACCATTTTTAGCACGGCTTGATTAAAAGGATTTTTTATTGACATTTACTGTAACTCACAGCATATTCCTCACTCTATTTAGGCAACAAAAGAATAATTTATAAAGTTTTTTTTATCTTTATTGCAGATACAGAGAACATTTGTTTACTACAATGAAATCAATGTAATTAGAATTTTAAAACAGTTACATCAAATGCCAAGTTGTCTCTTTACAAGATCTAACAATCCATGTTACTTAGAAGCAAGTAAAAAATGATGCATTTGTCATTATGTTATCAATAACTGCAACAAAGTTGAAAGATCCATCTTTTGGTATGAAAAACATTAGTGTTATTGGGTAAAAAAACCTTTGCAATAAAAAAAAGAAAAAAGAAAAAAAAATGGGATATGTATAGGCTGGGTTCAGCAACTGGTGCTGAGGGTAAGGGGGAACTACGTTGTCTCTGCCGATAAGGTGCTATACATACACTGACTTTAAGTTCAGGAAGCTCCTGTGCACTTGCTGCTATAGCTCAGCAGAGCTGGGCTTAATGGGAAGGTTCTTCACTATGATCTTAAAAGTCTGTGCACTGGGGGCTAATGGGTAAGAACAATGTACTATGACAGTAGGACCTATGGGAAGGGTCTGTGTACTATGACAGTAAGACTTATGGGAAGGGTCTATGTACTATGATAGTAGGACTTATGGGAAGGGTCTGTGTACTATGACAGTAGGACTTATGGAAGGGTCTGTGTACTATGACAGTAGGACTTATGGGAAGGGTCTATGTACTATGATAGTGGGACTTATGGGAAGGGTCTATGTACTATGACAGTAGGACTTATGGGATGGGTCTTAGCAGTACAACTGTAGGACTCATGGAAAGGGTCTGTGTACTATGACAGTAAGACTTATGGGAACACAGTTTGCACTACGACTGTAGTGGGAAGGTTCTATGTACTATGACAATGGGATGTATGGAAAGAGTCTGTATACTATGACCGTAGGACTTATGGGGAGGGTCTATGTACTATGATAGTAGGGCTTAAGGTAAGGGTCTGTGCAACAGGAATATAGGACATTTGGGGAGGGTCTGTGTATTATAACAGTAGGACTTATGAGAAGGGTCTGTGTATTACGACAGTAGGAGTTATGGGAAGTGTCTGTGCACTGACAGTAGGACATATGGGAAGGGTCTATGTACTATGACAGTAGGACTTATGGGAAGGGTCTTTGCAGTACAACTGTAGGACTCATGGAAAGGGTCTGTGTACTATGACAGCAGGACTTATAGGAACAAATTTTGCACTATGACTGTAGTGGGAAGGGTCTATGTACTGTGATAGTAGGACTTAAGGGAAGGGCCTTGTTACCAGGAATATAGGACATATGGGAAGGGTCTGTGAACTCTGACTGTAGGATTTATAGCAAGGGTCTATGTACTTTGATAGTAGGACTTAAGGGAAGGGTCTGTGTACTATGACAGTAGGACTTATGGGAAGGGTCTATCTACTATGATAGTAGGACTTAAGGGAAGGGTCTGTGTACTATGACAGTAGGACTTATGGGGAGGGTCTATCTACTATGATAGTAGGACTTAAGGGAAGGGTCTGTGTACTATGACAGTAGGACTTATGGGGAGGGTCTATGTACTAGTAGGATGAGAGTAGGACTTGACCAGAAGGGTCTGTGTACTATGACAGAAGGACATATGGGAAGGGTCTATGTACTATGACTGTAGGACTTATGGGAAGGGTCTTTGCAGTACAACTGTAGGACTGATGGAAAGGGTCTGTGTGCTATGACAGCAGGACTTATGGGAACAAATTTTGCACTATGACTGTAGTGGGAAGGGTCTATGTACTGTGATAGTAGGACTTAAGGGAAGGGTCTGTGCACCAGGAACATAGGACATATGGAAAGGGTCTGTGAACTATGACTGCAGGATTTATGGGAAGGGTCTGTGTACTATGACAGTAGGACTTGTGCAAAGGGTCTGTGTACCATGATAGTATGACTTTTGGGAAGGCTCTTTGCATTACGACTGTAGGTCTTAAAGAAAAGGTCTATGTACTGTGACAGTAGGACTTATGGGAACGCGAACAAACTTTGCACTACGACTGTAGTGGGAAGGGTCTATGTACTATGACATTAGGACTTAAGCGAAGGGTCTGTGTACCAGGAATATAGGACATATAGGGAGGATCTGTGAACTATGACTGTAAGATTTATGGGAAGGGTCTGTGCACAATGATTATAGGACTTATGGGAAGGGTCTATTCCCCATGACTATAGGGCTCATGACAACCAGCTGTGCCATGCTGATACTCTATGTCTAATGCAAATGTATGATTACTGTTGGCAGACTACGTGAACATGGTCACCCTTAAATTGGTCACTGCTTAGAGAAGACACAAAATTCCAATGGTCTAAAATGCAACCCAATGCTGAGTAACCAGCTGTACTGCCAATCACGTGACCACTGTGACAGTCAATCACAGCCATCACATAATTACTGATCCGTCCAACCCCAGCCAGACATTCAGAACCTTTTTGAAAAGGACGACGGTGTAGGCAGGAACATGGTAAGGTCAGTGTTTTATGACAAAAAAACAGGTCCAAGATAAAAAGAAGTTGAAAGGAACTTCCCTAACCCTCATGAGCTATTTAAAGTCCATTGCACCCCTAAAAGTTACCTTAATTTTGCCTTTCTCATTTCCGTCATTGCATTTTGCCAAAATGTCCTAATTTTCAATGAAAGTTCTGCAAAGCAAAAACTCACTATTTAACTTTTGAGCAAAGTATCCCTGATGCCTAAGGTCCCTTTGTACGTATGTATATATATATATATATGACATGAACCACGTGAAGAAGGTAAACATATATATATGGGCATGCCTACACTTCCTCCCAAATTCACATCTCTAACAACACAATGCTTGGTCCCTGAGCAAGCAATCACAAAGCCGAAGCACTGTCTTGTGGTTAATGTAGGGCTTGCCCATCCCTATGAAAATACAGTGCTTCAAAAAGTAGTTTCATACAAATTTTGGGAAGCTTAAAGCCTATCTATACTCAAAAGCAAACATTTATTACATTGCATCTCACCAGTCATTTGATTGTAGAGCTGCATTAGTTTTTGTTTTTGTTTTGTTTTGTTTTTTTGTTTTTATTCCCCTTTATTTTCACCTGGTGATCCTGCTTTTTTTAACTTCCTTTAACAGACCAAGCTGTTCAGCAAACGTTGCAGTTACAGCAGCCAGAACACCGAAGTGCTGGCAATACATTACATTTTTGGTTTGGGCTTTAGATACGCTTTAAGTGGAACCGTGAAAATTCAGGAAACACTTTGCAGGTAGGATCTGCCACCCTGAGTTGCCTCATAATCAGGTTGATTAATTAGCAGGTTACTATGTAAAGATAATCAAAATAGAATAATCTGTTTATGTCCCATCGGGTAAATTCTTGGTTTTAATGTGTGTTCCTGAAGTTTCTTTACTGAAGTTAATATAATTATCCCAGACCCACTGACTTGCAAAAAAGTACTAGTTGCCTATGAAAAAGTTTTTGTTTAAATAGGCAACAAACACATCTCCATGAGTCAATAGGTCTGGAATAGTTATATTTATTTTAATATTGGCAGTAGGCTTATGAAAATTGATAGGACTAACAAAATCCCAACAAGAAAATAATTATTAAGTGAGGTTTCAAACTCTTTTCCAGCATGTGTTTGATTTTAACAATTATTTTTGGATGTGCTCATTTTTGGCTTGTCCTCTGGTTCAGAACAGGCAGTTTGTAAAGACTAGTGTGGTCTTGAAATTACATGGAAACACTTGATTTGCAGACAGACTGAATTCTGGTAAGAACTATTAAAATATCTAAAGCCAAAAATTTAAAACAATGTCAATATTTGCACTGGAGACAATGTCACTAGTACAATAGAAAGTATGAATATCCCCAGCAAGAAGATGGACAGCAATACAAACTGCAGATTGACTCCGCTAGGAATATTCCTATTCTCTATCTGCACTGGTGACATTGTCATCAGAAAGGAATGTCATGGAAAATCCAAATGTTCACACTTGTCAGAGGAACAGGAATTGAGGGGAAATCTGTCAATGGGGATACCTATTGTGGTGACATCTACGTGGGGATGAGACTTCCACTCACTTTCTGTTGTGTCTTCCTGTAGCCTCCCTAGCGGTCTGATTATGTCAGTATTTCTGTGCTCAAAGCGGTACATTTTTGGAAATATGTAGTTTTCCTATTGTAGGCCTGTAGGTTTTAGGAATACCTCACTGAAATCTGTCCGAACAAGAGTCCAGTAAACATCCCGGGTATGTTAAAATTTGAAACACGAAATCATAAATTATAATTTAATAAATAATCATAAAAATAATAATATAATAATAATAAAATTTAATTCAATAATATAATCAAACCAAAAATACTGAAATTTGAAATAGAGCGCCAAGTTCGCACATCGCTGAGCTTAGTCACAGAATCGTTTTCAGTGTCTGATGACGAATTTCCCCACAATTCATTATCACTCAATTCTGCAAGTGGTTCTAATTTACTATCGCTGTTCTCTAGCTGGTCTAAAAACCGCTTTTGACCTAAAGGGACGCTTTTTGGACGCCATGGACATTTCTCAGTTTCCAGGCAGAAAGAACAGTAAAAATGCAGGCAGGGCGCAGGACAAAGCACTCGGGACAAAATGTATGTGAAATGGGTTGATACAGTAATGTTTTACTATGTGATTTTAGTGTTATTAGTGAATGTCACTTTTTAACATTTTTTAATTTCCCGCCGGTTCTGTTCTCCGTACGTCCTGACGTCGCAGGGAACGGAACCCGGAAGACGGATGCCGGCATCAGCCGGAGGAGATGGCCGGGGACGCTGCAGGAGGGACATCGCGGGAGCTCAGGACAAGGTAAGTGCAGAAAGATCCCGGAGCAACGCTGCAGTGTATTCCCGAGTGTAGCTCGGGGTTACCACTTGTGGTGATGAAACTTTACCCCGAGCTACACTCGGGAATACCGCCAGGGGGGTTAACAGGAAATCTCCATAATAGGACACATGGGGGTAGATTTACTAAAACCGATAAACTCAGAATCTGGTGCAGCTGTGTAGGTAGCTAAACAGCTTTTAACTTCAGCTTGTTCCGTTAAGCTTTGACAATAAAACCTGAAAGCTGATTGGTTTCAATGCAGAGCTGCAGCAGATTTTGTACCATACAGTTTTAGTAAGTAATCCCCACAGAGCACAGACAAAAAAAGGCCAAGAGGGTGTTAGGAGGCTTTAGATTTATTCAAAACTAAATTTAGGCTTTAGACTTATTGAAAACTGAATTGTAGTTTTTACAAATCCTCCCCTTCCCCATTAGGGTTCCCACCTCATCCCCTTAAAGCTGAACACATATTAATTACACGCATTTTGTGGCTGATTAAAGTGGTAATTAAACTCACTTGGTGCCTTATCTGCATTAAATTGGCCTCAGAATCCGCGTGAATATGTTTCAGTTTTAAAGTGATGAGGTGGCAACCCTATTCCCCGCCCCAAGCACCCCAACCCCCTACACACACACACACTTTTTTTTTTATTGATTAATATTCTTTTTCTGAAAGTCTTTGGTCTTTTTTCTCTTCATTTTCCTCCGACTGTGGTGAGTCCTAAATGCTGTCATTATGTGCCAGCACTCTCTGCAGCTTTCTCCTATGAGTTCATGCTGGGACAGGGGCGGACTGACAACTCATGGGGCCCCCGGGCAATAGGGGATCATGGGGCCCCTGTGTCCTTGCCCAAACTCAAAAAAGCCTATGAAAATGGTACCAGGGGCATCTCATGGGGCCCCCTACTGACCCTGGGCCCTCGGGCAGTGCTTAAGTTTCCAAATGGTCAGTCTGCCCCTGTGATGGGGTGATCACATGCTCTCATGGGTGGTTCCCTCTCAGTCTGGGCTCACAGGAAGTGGGTTGAATGATACTGGTTTGAAAACTGGTGGCATCTAGTGGTTGAGAAGAAGAGGACAGCTCCAGAATTGTGCTTAATAGTTCAGCAAAAGCTGCTGGTTTTTTTTTCATTTATATTTTTATTTATTTTTTAAAAATGTTTAGCCTTTGACTTTAATGTTTTTGCCAACTTGAATAAATGGGTAAGTAAGTAAATGTACAGTATATGTTATTTTGTATGGTCCCCTAAAATTCCTTAGAGTTCACTAGTATTGAACATAAGGCACTCTTCCATCTTCCATAATTTCCATCTAACACGAATACATCTATAAAAAAGAGAAGGCTGAATTATTAATACTGTTAATGTGTATACACACATGGTTATTTACAAGAAAAGGCAGATTAACCGCATTAAATACTAAAAGAACAATGTGTGTTTTAAATCAGTCCCGGTGGCTTTACAATGTGCTCCCATACATTACATTTATATTCCAAGCCTTTAAAACTGTAGTTAAGAGACAAACCAGGAAGTCCATTACAGAAATACATAAAGTTACTGATTAGTAATGAACAATTTATAATGAGTGTAAGCGCAGATCATAAGGCAGATGTAGCCTTGGCAAAGAAATCAGAGTGTATTAGTTTATTGGTGTCTAGGTGTTTACTGTCAATAACAGACATTCCGTGCAGGAGCCTTCACATGAAGAAAGATGGTTGGCTGGGATGGATTTTTATTGGCTGATCACCTTCGTTCCTCCTTGTGGTTGGTCGGCCCTTGGGAGTGTCTCTAGAGTGCTGCCCCGCTCCACTCCAAGGTGTCCTCTATGTCACCGAGACTTGAAGTGGTTGTGAACCTCAGACATGAAATATGAACAAAACATATATAGTGTGTACTTGTCTCAATCCAGAGCACTAGTTCTCATTACTGACTGCTGGTTCATTCCTCTGCTATCAGCATGAATCACTTCTAATGTTTTCCTGACACTAAGCAAAAAATGGTGACAGGGGAGGGACCTCCAGCAGATTGACAGCCTTCTTTCCCTAACTCCCCTTTCTTTCCCCCTCTTTCTCTTACCCCCTCTCTCTCTTTCCTTCCTCTCTTTCACCCCCTTCTTTCTCATACCCCCCTTTCTCTCTTACACACCCACCCCCTCTCTCACCCCACCCTCTCTCACCCCCTGTTCTCTCTCTCACACCCCTCTCTCACCCCCCTCTTTCTCTCTCAACCTCCTCTCTCACCCCCCACCACTTCTCTCTCACCCCCTCTCTATCTACCCCCTCTGTCTTTCATTTCCCCTCTCTCACCACCCTTCTTACCCCATCTTCCCTCCAATCAGCTCTCAAAGCTCTCTTCACTGATATAACTTCAGCTCCCCACCCCCTGCTTTTCAGAGCTGAGAGATCCTATGTAAATTCTCTACTATGAATGAATGTAGAGGAAAAAAATGACTGAAGATAAATAGGTACAACTTATGTAGCAGGATTTGTTTCATCTCTGTGTATCACCTGAGGCCAGTCACTGGGTATATGTAAGGGTTTAATGTTTCTCTATGGCTAGGTCCACACCTATGCAGTTTGCATTTGATCCGTTTCTGCAGTGCTTTTTGTGGTGCATTTTGTGTTTTTGCACATGTGTTTTTGACACTTTTTTAATGTGTTTTGTGGGGTTTTTTTCCAACTTGTTGCTGGGCCGATTAAAACACAAAACGCAATAAAAACATGTCAAAAACTCACTATATGCATTTCTGTAGGGTCTCCATTGAAGTCTATTGAACCAAAAACGCAAAGTTTTGCATTTTAAAAAGCCCCTGACCCTTTCCAAAAAAACGCATTGGGTGAAAACATGGAGATGTGAACCTGTCCCATGAGAAATAATGTTAAATGGATGCTGTGCGTATTGGTGAGAACCTAGACTAAAGCATTTTTTTAAAATTTTGGATAGATTTGAGGAAGGTTAGAACCTTTGTTAGGCTTTTATTGCTGTCTGTGTAAGATTCTTCCTCATGACTAGTCCTAGTGTCTATTGTTAAATCCAAAATTTTGCATTAACACAGGAGCAGTTATGGAGGAGAAATCTTCCAGTGGGGACATCTGCCTAAAAGGGAATTTCCATTATTTGGAGATATCTCCTCTTTCTTCCTTTTTTATGTAAGGAACAGGAAGCAAAGGTAATTCTTTTAATTATTCTATTCTGGGTACTGAATTCCTGTATGTTTTCCTGAACATCAGCTGCAATATGATTTAAGAGGTCCTCACCAGTGGTGATGCTATGGGGGTGCAGACAACACCCCAGTGACACCTGCCAGAGGTAATACCCCCATAGTGACGCGGCCAGTAGAGGACACCATGAAAGACTCATTGAGGGATTTAGGTGGGTGCTACAGATCTCAGTTGTGCCCCCCCACAAAAGCCATCTGCCCCCCTCCCTTCCACCTCCAACCATGGCGCCCAGCCATCATACTCCTTCCCCCAGGGCCAGCATAATGTGGATGGGGGGCGCCAGTAGCATCTCTAGCGCCCAGCATCCAGGTACTGCCCCACTGCTATCTCCGGCACCCACATAATCTCTGCCCATTTGGCGCAAAAAGAGCCAGGGAAGAGCCCTCTAGGCTTCTCCCTATAAAGGCCAGTGAAGACAATGGCAGTGGGCCATTGTGCCAAGTGAAGTGAAGAAAGAAAATCTGAAAGGAGAGTGGCAAGGATATATAGTAGGTAAAAGAAGAATGTTTGGGCTGAACAGTATGCATTTATAGAGAATGATCAGGGAAGTCTCTCTCTTACCCTCCTCTCCCACCCCCCTCTTTCTCTTACCCCTCTCTCTCTCTTACCCCCCCTCTCTCTCACCCCTTCTTTCTCTTACCTCCCTCTCTCCCCCATCTTCTCTACCCCTTATCCCCCTTCCCTTCCACCCCCCTCTCTCCCCCTCTCTCTCTCACCCCCCCCTCTCACCCCCTTCTTTCTCTAACCCCTTTCTTTCCCCCTCTTTCTCTTACCCCCCTCTCTCTCTTACCTTCCCTCTCTCTCACCCCCTTCTTTCTCATACCCCCCTCTCTCTCTTACACCCCAACCACCTCTCTCCCCACCCTCTCTCACCCCCTGTTCTCTCTCTCTCACACCTCTCACCTCTCACCCCCTCTCTCTCTCACCCCCTCTCTCTCACCCCCCTCTCTCTCACCCCCTTCTTTCTCTAACTCCCCTTTCTTTCCCCCTCTTTCTCTTACCCCCCCTCTCTCTCTTACCTTCCTCTCTCTCACCCCCTTCTTTCTCATACCCCCCCTCTCTCTCTTACACCCCCACCACCTCTCTCTCACCCCACCCTCTCTCACCCCCTGTTCTCTCTCTCACACCCCTCTCTCACCCCCTCTTTCTCTCTCAACCTCCCTCTCTCACCCCCACCACTTCTCTCTCACCCCCTCTCTATCTACCCCCTCTCTCTTTCATTTCCCCTCTCTCACCATCCTTCTTACCCCATCTCTCCCCTCCTTGCCCCCTCTCTCAATCACCCCCTTTTTCTCTCAAACCCACTCCTTCTCACCCCTCTCTCAAGCCCCTCTCTCAGTCCCCCCCCTCACTCCCCCTCACCAACTCTCTCTCACCTTCCTCTCTCTCACTAGGTGGGTGACACCATGTTTTACTGCACCAAGTGACACCAACCCTAGGGACGCCACTGGTACTCACTGTACCTATATACAGGCATGTATTATTGTTGGTTGGATTCAACAGTGGAGCGAATACCTATGTGGTATTATACTTGATGTGATATGACAT